GGGCCACCGGCATCTCGGCCTCAGGGGGTCTCTCTTTCTTCTCAGAAGTCACGAGCGATGTGGTGTGGGAGGATTCCCTCATGGTGGGCCTGGAGGAGCCCCTCCTGGGATGGTGCGTAGCTCGGAGAGTTCTTGCTTTCGGCCTCGGGCTCCGGGAGCGGGACTGGCTGGGCTCGGCGGGGCTGGGGGCTCCTCTGCCTCCTGCGCGGGGGTTTCGTAGGGTTTGGTGACTCCAAAGTGCTTTTTTTGTACCCGCGCTTGCGGATGGAGAATCCTCCTGTAGGTACGTAGCTTTCATTTTTGTCAAAATCAAAAGTTTTGCTGTTCCAACCGTTGTTGCTGGAGAACATTTGAGCAATGCAGTGGAAGGCAGCCTAGCTTTTTGTTCTCCTTCTTCCTGCCCCTACCCCAAAAGGTGCATGACGTTAATTAGGGCATCTCTGTTTGGGCTTTTTGTTGTGGTTTTGTTTGTTTGTTTGTTGCAGTACTGACAATAAATGACTTCTCTATTGACAGCTTGCAGTTGGCAACAGGTTTGGTAACTCTGGGATTAGTCTGATGGGAAGGAAGTAAATATCACCTGAGGGCTTACAGAGCCATTAGTTTTCTTAAATGATATTTAAAGGCTATTCCACAATCTGTAAGGGATGAGAACTTTTTAATTAAAAGACTTGCGTTGTTGAGTTTGGTGTTTTGGTTTGGTTTGGGTTTTTTTTTGGGGGGGTATGTCTCTGCATGAGGCAATGATGTATTTTATCAGGAGGAAATGTCACATCTATGACTTGCATTGTTTTACTAGTTAAATAATTTTCCAAGGGCATAGCCTAAACCACTCTGTGGTAATAAGTCATGTATTTTCTTCCCTAATTGCAACTTCACTTATTAGAGAGATTATTTCTTACACAACATATCCAACTTTTTATGTTCGTACTTTCTGTGTATTACGTCTTTTGCTGTGATGATTATTTTATGTCCTCTGTCAGGTATGCAGTTATCTGTGGTTTCAGAAGCCTCTATTTAATAATGGTTTGCCTTTTATCTTTTAGTGCTCACTATATGTTATCCTGTCGGTCATGTGGCTTGATCGTGGGCTTTATTCTTTATTCTGCCCCCAGAGACCTGGCATATCTCCGAGGCTGCTTCTGTTTCTTCAAGGACAAAATCCTCTGGTAAGTACACTGCATGATGGCCAATAATTTAGTGTAAATTTGCAAGTTACTACAAGAGGGCGTGCAACCAATCTGCTGCTAACAAAAGTGGCTTTGCATTTGACTGAATGCATTGGTGTGGGATTCTAATATCCTCTACATTTAAATTATTTGTGTTGGTGTGACTCCATTTGGTTTGCCTTGTACTTCCTATGTGTTCTTATGTAATGTCAAGGTTTAAATTCAGTTGTTTGCAATACTGAAATCTCCTTCAGCTCCAGATTTGCTTAGTGAATGTAAGGTACCAAAGCAGTTCTATGATAGACTGAGGACTTGACTACAGAAACTTTAATTAATTATACCTGATGATGAGAGGATCAGTTCTGAGCCTTCCACTACAAGAAAGGCATTGAGTTGCTAGAGAGAGTTCAGAGAAGGGCAACCAAGCTGGTGAAGCAACTGGAGAACAAGTCCTGAGGAGAAATTGAGGGAGTTGGGATTGTTTAGTTTGTAGAAGCAGAGGCTGAGGGGAGACCCCATTGCTCTCTACAAATACCCAAAAGGAGGTCGTAGGGAGGTGGGTGTTGGCCTCTTGTTTCGAGTAGGTAACAATAAGACTAGAGGAAGTGACCTGACGTTGTACCAGGGGAAATTTAGACAAGATGTTAGGAAGAATTGGGTGCTGGAACAGGCTGCCCAGGGAGGTGGTGGAGTCACCATCACCTGGAGGTATTTAAAAACCGTGCAGATGAGGCACTTCAAGACATGCTCTAGTGGTTTGTTCTTGGGTTTGGGTTTTTTTGGGGGGTGGGGTGTCGCCGGTCGGACACGGTGATCTTAGAGGTCTTTTCCAATCCTGACAATCTGGAGATTTCAAAGTAAAACCGTTGTGCGTTTTATGTACTGACTGCCCGTGGCAACAGCTTTGTAGCTGCTTTAAAATAATCTAAATAATTGTCCAAGCAATGAATGCAAATATGGGGTTTTAAACTGTTTTTCTTAGGGTTTTTTTCCCTTTTTCTCTTTTCTTTTTCCAGTTATCTCTTACAAAATGAAATTATAATAGAAGCTTCTAAGGTGAATTTTCCTGCTGTGACCTTAGAGGAACGAGTGAATAAAGTAAGGCTTCTACATTAATATGTATGAAAAATATTTATAAATGCTGGCATTTTTTTATTACTTAAAAATATTTATACAATTACTTTTTTTAAGTGCATAAGATGGAGAAAATACTAACTTGAAGTACAGGGACTGACTTAAATGTATGAGACACGCAAAATACTTTCTAGAACTATTTATCTGCAAAGCATATCCAGTTCTAGCTAATATTCTGGCAAAAGTGTGTTACCAGTTTATCTGTACACTTTGAAAAGAAGAAAAAATAATAATTTAGACAGACTTTGCTTAAATATTACTACTTGGATTCTCCCTAGAATTGGTGAGTCACTGTTGAAGAATTTTAAAAATAGCAATTTGATAGTTTGAAAGGGAAAGTTGTATTTATGGTTATGTAAGCCCAAAACAGCATAGCAGTGTTTAC